TTTATATCAATGCAGCAAAACCCGGAGGTCTGGCAATCAACTTGGTCCAGTTGTCTTTTTTTTAGCGGCTTTCTTCAATTGATCGACAGGGTTTGCCTTAAGGGAAACCGGTCGCCCCCGGGTGCGATGGCGACCTGTGCACGAACAATCGATGCATGTGGCACATGCCAAGGTGTGCACAAAAACGTTGCCCAGTCACTGGGCACTCTGCTTGCGCACCCAAACGTTCAACCCCCTTCACCGATGGACATCTCAAATCTATGGGTCGCAGCCAGATGCTTAATGTGCATCCCATCCGCCTGCCGACCAACCTTTGTCACCAAGCATACCATCTCATCTCACCTCATGACTTTCACCCGCCTTGCAGTTTCAAATGTTGGAGGATATTGGAGGGGATCCTATATTCAATCAAGATTTATCGTCATTTAATAATGTAATGTGTATTTTTTCTTGACATCCTTGCAGTTCCCGTGTTCGGCTTGCTCTTAAGGGGATGGATGAGAGGTTCCACTGATGTGCCTCGGTCGGGTACTTAAGCAGCCTTGGTCGCCCAACCCAACTCACACCAAGCGAACTTACAGATTCCGCTCACTCACTCTCTCACCTCACCTCACCTCCACCTCCACCTCCACCTCCACCTCACAACAACAAAAATGTTTACCATGGAACTTCGCATCTCTCATGATCCGCTGTGCATATTAATCCACGATAATTCCTCTTCCTTCCGCTGCCTCATTACAAACACAAAAGCTTCACATGTAGCAGTTATTTCGGCCCGAACCCATAAAAGCTTTGGTTTCCGCACCTGGAAATAACTCGCTTCCATCGCCAAGCACAACCTCTGCATAGCGCCTCGCATGGAATCAAAGCGCCCGGAAGTGTAGGCCATGCTGGCCAAAACCACCAGCAGCGTGGTTGAAAAGGTCAGCCCAAAAGAGAGACCCATTGAATCTGCCATCATCATACACAGCACTGGGTACCTTGCAAGCAAATGATCTAAGCCGTTACGTCGTTCTGAAACCTGTGGGCATCGTTTGGGAAAAGAAAGAGCTCTCTGCAAAGAGTGGAAAAAACATCTGTGATGAAAATCTGAAAAGGTGCAGCTAGGTGTGATTCATGCATGCTCTGGGTCACTTTGCTAAAGGCAGTGCAGCCAAAGTGCAAAGACAATCCGAAGAAGACCAGCACAAATCTGCTCCTTGCTTCAAATAGAGCTTGTATGGAAAAGAGCAGTGCCAGCTCTCCTGCTTGCCAAGCCTTGCCAGCGTGCAAGCAAGCGCAGTGCCACCCCCGGCCCCCGAGGAAGCAGGTGCAACATGGAACTTCGCGAGACGTATCACAACATGCCGTGTTCTTCTTTCGTAAACCCGTACACCCGCCGTGCACAATCGAAGAAGTACACTGCCCACCGTACGTGTGGTACGTATACTGCACATCATCTGAGAAACAAAACAAATCCGATGGCAGTCGAGCTTCCAGGCGCAGTGTAGGCCTCACTTTCCAGAAGAAGCGCGAATGTCGATGGCGAGAGCAAAAGCCATGTTCATTTGGGTGGAACTCTTTGCATCCTGCTTGGCTGCAAGGGTATGGCAACATCATCTCAATCTCCGTGTCGCTGCAAAAGCTCTGGCTGGGGTCCTCACATGTAGCGTTTCGTGAAGCGTGGGCCTTGAACTACAGCGGGAGGCTGCAAGCTTGGGATTGGGGATAACGAAGCTGCAAGAATTGATTGTCCTTAGATGTATATTGTACTGTATATTTTATAAACATGCTGACTTTTGTCCAGACGAACCATTCTGGCTCGAATAATGTTCTTCTCGATTGAGCGTCACTGTTCTTGAATGTGCATGTTTCTCTTTGAACGTCCGCCTTCTGAATTGAATTCACGTTTAAGAATCTCACTGACAATAAGTGGCAGTCAATACTTGTTGAACCTCTCGTTGCTTAACTAGACCTCTCACTCTTGCGTTTTTTGATTATATAGACTAAATATTTCTATCTATTGAAACTCTCTGTATTGTCGACACCTCTTGTGATGTGTTGTGCAACTGTTCTTTGGAAAAGCACATTCAACGAAAAGAGCTCTGCAAGCAACGCATGGCGGTGCTAAGACCATCTGCAAGAATGAAACCTTTCAGTCGGAAAGACTTTGACCATGTTTGATCAACGCCACATCAAGTCCTCTTCCATTTCTCCAACCCGGAACCAGGGTTGAACCATGAAAAAAACACTGTGTGTCGAAGCCGTCAGAGACATTCCCAAGACCATCGATCTGGCCCCTGCCTCGACGGTCAGGGTCCGCTCTGGCACGGCATCAGCCCTTCTTCGAAGACATGACCAGGCACTGGACACGTCCTGGAGCACCCCACTTGGAAACCCCATGGTGGAAACCTGGAGCACCCCGTGTGGATGGTGAGTTCGGAAGGCCGAGAAGGGGGAAGAAAAGTGCCAAGCTGATTGACACACTGAGCTTGGCCCTTTGGTCCAAACCGGGACACCCTGGTCGACCACCGAGGGTGGAACAGAATAGACTACCAGGGAAGTCAACCCACCAGGTCTTGATCCACAGCCGACCTGGGCTTGGTTTTCGACGGATCGACGGTCGTTCCCCACCACCCCGTCCTCAATGTGAACGTGTCGCTTCACTCGTGCCCACAGGAGCACATCTTGCAGAGATCGGTGCCTAACCGGCGTTCGGGGCGTCAGACAACGGCGAGACCAAACGGAGGGGCAGACAGGCAAGGGCACTACATGTGCTACATGCGGCGGCAGATCGGGACAAGGAACAGGTCTTCTTTGATGGCCAAAGATAGCTGCGGACAGCCATTCAGCTGCAGTACCAACTCTCCTGGACGAGATCTCCTTGGATGTGCAGAACTGGGAAAAAGAAGGTTCTGATGGGATTCGCCCGGAAAGCATTTCGTTTGCACTTCTTCAGCTGTTGGTCTCGCCACTAGCCTGTTTTTCACCCATAAGAAAAAATAGAAAATCACCCTCTATAAGCAAAACCAGGCCTCTTGATCGCATCTCCCAAGGGGCCAATGGTGCTTAAAGCTGGCAAGTTGCAGAGCCAGAGTTCCAAGCGGCTCAGTTTCAAAGGAAAAAAGCATGGCTGGCAAACCCTCAACGCTTTGCAAAGAACCCGCGAAGCGCAACACCAGCTGCTCCAAGGAACTCGGAAACTCCAATGACCCGTCAAAGGGCGAGTCCAAACCTCTTTTCGTGATCGGCACGTGAAAAACAACGAGGAAGAAGCCAAGCGACATCTATGACTACACCGACTTCACTTGATAGGTTTCAGGCCTCTTGGCTCAAATCCCCAAGATTCGCCAAGGCTGTTTATGGTGAATCCCCATATAAACCACCACCACTTGGAATTAGAGCCAAGAGTCTTGACGGGAATGTGCACGTCTGACCCTACCTCCAGTGACCCTCCCGTGGCCCTGCGGAACCTGCCTGTGAAGGCCAAGTCCAAACGAAGCACACGCAGCTTCTCTGGCAAGCACTGCACAAGTGATTGCAAATCGCTGTCCTTGAAACTAAAGCATCCCGTCATGGACAACTGCACCATCTGCCGGCCCTGGTCCGCTGAGATGGCTTCCATGAGATTCTGGCAGTTGTGTCCCTTCATCATGAAGCTGAACCAGCTTGACAACGAGAAGTGCGAGGCCAAGGCGCGATTCACCAAGTCGTAGCTTTCATGGCTTGGCGGGGGGCTGGAGTGCTAAGTCCTTTCCAGTCACCCGACTGACGGCATCCGGGTGACGTGAGACGATGCTGTTCAGGATGCGGTTCTTATCTTCTGCCACGGCCGCTTGCGCTTGCTTGATGTCCACCTACAAAGGCTGGTGAAACAACTGGCTGGTGAAGGCTCAGATCAGGGTGTATTGAATATCACGTCGAGACCCAATGTCTGATGTCGGGCACTACTCTACTCCCTATCCGGACCAGCCCACTAGGTGCCAGCAGTCTTCAGCAAGAGACCTTAAATTCACCTTCATCCTCTCTCTCTCTCTCAATTCTGTAAAATTCAGCAGCTGTTTGTTTGTCGTTTGTTTGCGCACGTCTCTGTATTGTTTTCCTCTGGCAACTGTCCTTAGGCTCAAGGCCTCGATCCAAGGTGCATTGTGTAGCACCATGCAATTGTACATGAGCAGTACGATGGAGTAAATGAACTATTGTAAAAGAACTTGTCTCTTGACACCGTCCCTTGGTTTGATTCATTGTGGAATCACACCATCCATAAACATTGTTGAAACTGCAAAGAAACATTATTGCACAAATCAGTTCAAAATATTGTGAGCAAGTCTGTACACCATCTTGCCATTATTCTTCCAGCTTGTTGCCATTCATTTCGTGGTGCTCGTATGGCATTGTTACAGCTGGAACCAGGCCGCTTGTAGAACCATTGTTCTAGCCCTCCATGGAGTCGATCGTGTTGTCCGGAGTCTCGGAGGATTGTCTGGGACGTTTTGTCCCCTTGCCATCCTCTTCATCCTCAGATTGTTCCAGGTCAATTGTCCTGTCTCGTTCCTTGATGTAGGAACTGTGCTCTGGATGCCCTCGCTGGTGTCGCTTTGGAATTGTCACATGGTACGTATCGATCTTCTTGTCAGCCTTGTAGACTCCCAAAGCCAATTGTACTTCTGGCGGCAATTGTGACTGGCCAAATTGTCCGAGGTGTGCCAGCGCCATTCCGAAGATTGTATGGTGCGGAGAATCTTCCGGAATGGTCAGCATTGTCCTCACGTGAATTGTATGGCCGCGAAGCCAAATCCAGCCGTTCTCCCAGTTGTACTTGTTGAATTTGTCGATGGCATTGTAGCGCAGGTGGATCACTCGCAGATTGTCCATCTCCGTCCTTGTCATGCAGTAGTTGTAAGGTGCATGGACTTGTAGTACCTGCACGCTGTACCCCCGCTGGAATGACGTGACCATCTTTTGTGACATGTGGTGGATCAGATTGCGCCCCTCAAAGGCAATCGCGATCAACACCGTCTCATTGTTCGACATTGTGTGGCTTGCCGATTGGTGGTATGCGAGCCATTGAATGGCTTCCTCACTTGTAGGAACCATTATGAGCTGCTCCCAATTTCCGGGTTTCCGGATATTGCCCGGGAGTTTGTCGATCCTGCCGTCGTTGTTCAACATAGTCACATATTCGGTCATTGTGACCGCTGAAAACCAGTAGGTTGTGATGTCGTCAAGGGACATCTACCCATGCGGTATCCTTGTAGTTCGCTGGGCGCAGAATCGTGCTCTCGATGTTGTCCACGTTGAAAATTGTCGCCCGGTCGTCCCATAGCGAGATTGTGGATCCCGTGAATTGCTCTGATTGTGGTAGTCTGGGATTGTCATCTCAGCTGCCATCTTCAACTTCCAAATTGTTCTCGAGGACGTCGATCCAGATTGTCGCGGCTTGTGAGCTGGAAAAGCGGCCGCGGTCAAGGATTGTCGACAAATTGTCAACCAAAACATGCATTGTCTTCCAAATTCAAAAGGCAAAACTTCAAACACATTGTTCTTCGAATTGTACTCCGAAACGGCGAAAGAAAGGTCGGGCCCATTGTGAAAATAAAGATCTTGTAGTACATAATTATTGTCTATGACATAGTACGCACATAGTAGCTAAAGTAGTGTGCCATGGCTTGATCCCCCGTGTGTGTATTGTACACGCGTTGGTGCTGCCATGGTTGTGAAACTGTTTGTACTGCAGTTGTTCAGTTGTGGCGTTGTGGGCATTGAATGCCCGCCATGTAGAGGTGTTTGTTAAGCACCTCTGCCGAAACATACTTTGTCAGTATGTCTGCTGGGTTGTCGTGCTTGCTGATCTTGTGTATTGACAGTACCCCACTTTGTACCAGTTGCTGTATGAAGAGGTACTTCAGGTCAATGTGCTTTGCTTTCTTTGACGAGCCTATTCGTGTTGCAATGCTGTTGCCGCTTGCGCTGTCTGTGTGTATGCGTATGTTCACCTTTGTTGTTGTGGCTTCCTTGATGAAGTTTGCTATGTGTAGTCCTTCTTGTTCCTATAGCATATAGTTCTGACTCTGCTGATGACAATGCTACCACTGCTTGTGTTCTGCTTCCAAATTGTACTACTGATCCCATCATTGTCACGATGAATCCACTTGTGGATTTTCTTGTGCTTGGGCATCCTGCCCAATCCGCATCGACATAAAAGTTAAGGTCGATGGGTTCCTTTGTCTGCGGTGTATGTGTTGTCCTCAGGGTCATCTTGTAGTGTTGTGTTCCCCTGAGGTATCGTAGGAGGTGCTTCACCTTGCGAAGGCTTTGCTGTGTTGGTTGTTGTAGATCTCGTGCTAGTTCTTTCGTCGCAAAGCTGATGTCTGGTCTTGTGTAGGTCAGCCATTGTAGCTTTCCTACTGCTCTCCTGTAGTCTGCGTGTTCTTGTGCCTCTAGAGGTGCATCATCGTTTGTGGATTGTTTCAGGGTTGCCGTCCCTGGAGTTGATGCTGGATTGCTTGCTTCCATCTTTGTTTCCTTCAGCAATGTAGTGATGTATTCCGGTTTGAGGCTCACCTCAAAGAAGTCTCCATTGTTGGATGTCTCTGCCAAGGAATTGGATTGTCTGACCAATTCCCAATGTGCCGGTTGGTCGTAGTAGGTCATCCACATATACCAGCACAAACATTGTCTGTTCATTGTTCCTGTACACGTTGGGTTCACTTGTGAGTCGAGACAGTCCCAATTGTTGCAGGACTTGTGCAAAGTGATCTTTCCAAGATTTGGGACTTGATCGCAGTCCATAGATTGCTTTGTTGAGCTTGCACACTGTGGTTGTGTTGTGACCACTTGGGTATAGTTCTGATGGTGGCCACATGTATAGATTGTCTGTCGCTGCTGGTGCATGTAGGAATGCTGTTGACGCGTCTCCTGCTTGTATCGTCCAGTGGTTGTGCTGTGCCATTGTCAGTAGGATACGTAAGACCCCAAAGATCGGTGTGCTCGCATAGATGTTGTCAAGGTCTTGGATTGTTTCCAGGAAACCTTTTGCTACTATGCGGCATCGAACTTCATCTTGTTTGGGTTTGTTAACCCACTTGGACTCTATGATTTTGTTCTTGTGTTCTTCTGGGACATCATTGTAGTTCATCTCTGTGAACACTCCTTGTGTCTTCATCGATTCTGCTTCTTCTTTCTTCATTCCTTGTTGTACTTTCAATGGATCAAGACCTTCATTGTCGTAGACGAAGGGTTCTTGTAGTATCCTTTCCACTTCTGCTTCTTGTTCATCTTCACAGGATGCTGTGGTGATCTTGTCACCTTTCCTTGTGGTGATTGTCACTGCTTGTATTCTCATCTTTGCTTTTGGTTGTTCTTCCTCTTGTCCTCGGTTTGCTGCTGTTGAGGATTGCGCTGTCCTTGATTGCTTGGATTGCGCTTCTCCTGTAGGTTCCTCGTGTTGTCGCTTGCTTGCTGGTGGTAATGGCAGTGGTGGTCTTGCCATTGTTGTTGGTGAAGTTGCCAATGGTGATGTTGCCATTGTCACGTCCATTGGCGGATGATGCATTGCCTGTGCTGGTAGTGCCAGTGGTGTCTCTTGTCCTGTCTGCGTGCTTGTATCTTCCACTGTAACGTCAGCTTGTGTGCCACTTGCTTGTCCGTTTGTGGTATTGTCAGCTGGTAGAAGCAATTGTGTTGGAACTGCCATTGGTGCTGTTGGCAAATTCCATGGATACACGTTGATGGTATCCAATAGTTGCTTGTCGTACTTGTCTGGCATGATCTGTCTTCGAATTGTTTTTGCTTAGATAATCTTGCCAGGCATGCCGACTATTGATTCTCCAGTCATTGTATCCCTTCCAAGCCAGATTCCTTTGAAGAATCTTGGCTCCATCTTGGGTTGTGCTTTTGTTGTTGGTATCATGTATTGTACTGTTTCTGCCATCTCGCATAGTGGTGCTTTGTGGTCCTTCTGCCATCGTCTTTGGTAGCTTTTTTGTCCATCATTGTGCATGGCATACCTGTTCAGTAGCCAGGCTGCATGCCGTACAATCCACGGCATGACCGGATGTTGTACGCTCAATGTGAGGTTGTAGCTTGTGGTCACTTGTTGTACCAGTGCTCGGACTTGTCCCATCAAGGTGCGATGGAATCGTTCAATGCTTCCCTGTGATTGTGACGAGTATGCCGGTGATTGTCGGATGTTGACGTTGTTTCCGAGCTTCAGCGCGACGGCCTTCAGTAGGTTCTGTATGTATTCTTCTTGGTCTGATTGTAGTGTCGTGGTAGATAGTGTTGCTTGTGCTCGTCCACATTGTAGACATCGTGTCAGGTATTGTTGTTGTTGTTGGTTCTTGTCTTGTACAAGAACTGCCATTGCCATGCCTGATTCGACATCTATTGCCGTGAGTACCGGTAGTACTTGTTTGTCTCCAAATGCTTTCATGTAGGTGAAGTCCACTTGTATCACTGGTTGTTTGCTTGCTTGTTTTGGGTGATTGTCTGTTCTTCCTTTGCTCTTGACACATATTGGGCACCATGAGCGATATGGTAAATGTGTCAGCTCATGTTCTAGCCTCTCTTGTCTTGTTGGTTGTTGTGGTGCCTTCATTCCTTTGGCGCGTTGTGCTTGTTGAGATTCATCTTCATTGTCCGTGTCGTACTCGTACTTATACGTCGCTTCTTCCTCAAAGTTTGTTGATCCTGTCCATTGTCTGTCAAGCTGTCTTGCTCCTGATTCCTGCCAATTGTCATGGATTGTGTATCCTCTTCCTTGTTCCGTTCTATTCACGAATGTTGTCCAGGTAGGCTTGAGTCTTCCAATGTCTGGACCATCATCTGTCTGTTGTGGTACGTACATTGTTGTCCGTGCTTGTACGTGAACTCGTTTCCAATAGTGTCCTTCTCTGATCCAATAGTCTGTTGTTGGTGTCATTGTTGATGGATCAGGTACTGCCGTGGTTGTTGGTGCAGGTTTCTTCGTTGTGTGTCTGTATAGTGGCTCTCTGTTCGTCGGTTGTGTTGTCCCGTCTTTGTCCGGGATTCCCAATGTTGTGGATTGAGGTCGTGCCTGTATTGCTTGTGATGCTTTCTCTGTCGGCTCTGTTGTCTTCGCTGTTGTAGGTGCTGGTTGCGTTGGCGGCTTGTTCACTCTGAACCATGTTTCTCCTGTCCACGTGTCTCCTTGTATCACTCGTCGTTGTTCGTGTTTGCTCAAGTCATGGTATTGTTCAACAATGTCTTCGTTGTTCCCGTCTGTTCGCCGAATGATTGTTCGTCTGTAGTTGCTCAATGTCTCCAGTGGCACTGGGCAATTGTCTCCAGGAACAAAGAGAGCTTTCCTTTTGTTCCGGTGGTACCGTACAAGGTATCCTTCATTGTTGTAGTTCCAATAGTCGCTGTTGCCTCCAAGAACTTGTTGTGGTCCGTGTCTTGTCAGTGTTGTTGGGGCAATCATTGCAATCATGCCCTTTTGTGTCTGTCTCAGCTGTAGTTGTTGATGTTGTCCCAGGTTCATGACTGTTGCTGGCAAGTAGTAGAGATTGCGCTGCTGCACCAAGGGAACATTGAATCCCTTGTCATGGCGCATTGTTGGAGTGTCATTGAACCTGATGTCAAAGCCTTGTTCTGCCAGTCTGGTCACTGACAGGATTGGGTCATGAATGTCACACACATAGAATAGTATGACAATTGGTTGTCCTCTTGATTGCATGTAGACCCATCTTGTTCGTCACTGTCCTGAGGTTTGGGCTTTGTGCTTGGTCGATCTTGTACACTGGATAGTTGTCTGCAAACCATAGTGGACAGACATGTGTGGCTGCTCCACTGTCGATCATGATGTGCATAGTGTCTGTTGCGCCGCCGCTTGTGGTATCTGTCTTGTAGTCATTGCCATTGCTGATCATGGCGATGACATGGATTGGTGTCATGTCATTGTTGCCATTGGATGGGATTGGCGGAAGTGCCAATGGCTGTTGTCCTTGTTGTTGTCTCGTGTAGTCCTGACAGTACCATCCGTTGTCATAGTAGTCGTCGTACCATTGTGCAGTTGCATCCTCAATGTCAGGGCGTTCTCCTTGTCCAATATTGTGAATTGCCACTCGGCAGTCTTTGGCAAAATGTCCTGTTCTTCCACATCTGTAGCATGTATCTGTTGCTTGTTTTCCTTTGTTCTTTCCTTTGCCTTTGTTGTATCCTTTGCTGAATCCTTTGTTTCCTTTGTTGCCTCTTCCAAATGGATTGCCAAAGCCAATCGGATTGTTGTTGTAGTTGTTGAATCCTTTTGCTCCCTACTTTCCTTTTCCTTTGTGGTTGACGCTGTAACTGTTGTAGCCGTGGCCGTTGTATCCTCCGTAGCCTTTGCCTTTGTTCTTTCCTTTTCCTTTCCCTTTGTAACTGTTGTACTTCCCTTTTCCTTTGTGGATTGCGTCAATGTCCATGGGTGCTTGTCCTCCACCAAAGCTTGTTGCTACACTGGATGATTGTGATCGTAATTGTTGTAGTTTGCTGAATGCTGTTGTTGATCTGTAGTACTCAATGATTGTTTGTTTGACTCGTGCATAGTTTGGCCTTTGTCCTGAAAGCAGTTGTAGGTGTTGTTGTAGTGGTCCACTTGGCTCATTGAGCAGTACGGCAATCTTCACGGAGTCTGGGAGTGTTTGTCCATTGTCTCGCTCAAATCGTTGTAGCTCAAATTCCCACGTGGAAAATGATTCTTCGAAGTTGTTCTTGTCAAATGTTGGTTTCAACAATCTTGTCAAGTGTCCTATGGATCTTGTCCCCAATGGGATGGAGAAGCGGATGCACAATTGTCGGTACATCTCGAAGCCAATTGTGTTTTGGTATTGTCTGCAGACTGTAGCTGCTGCTCCTGTTGTTGTGTTGATGAGGATGTACCTCAAATTTGTGCTGAGGCGAACATGTCGTTCACCATCTTCGATTGTTGATGCCGCTGCTCGTAATTGTACCTCTGTGAGTTCTGCTGTGCCTCGTTCTGCTGCTTGTTGTAGTTCTGTGTAATCATTGTCTTGCAATCCCATGTATGCTGTGAACTTGTACTTCCATTCCTCGAACGTGCCATAGTCTCCATTGAAGAAAGGTGGTTTGAGTTTGTATCTGTTCATGTTTGCTATGTTTGTTGTTGTCTCATCTTCTGGAACTGGAGGCAGTCCATCTCCAGCTTGAGCTGCTGCTTGTTGTGCTGCCATTGTTGCAGCTGTGCAAGCTACCTGTTGTAGGGTCAAGGCTTGCTCTCCGTTGTCTGTGTTTGTGGGCTTGTTCCTGTTGTTGTATTGGAGCTCGCCTGGATTGTTGTTACCAGGATCCTTGCTCCGCTACCATGTAAAATTCAGCAGCTGTTTGTTTGTCGTTTGTTTGTGCACGTCTCTGTATTGTTTTCCTCTGGCAACTGTCCTTAGGCTCAAGGCCTCGATCCAAGGTGCATTGTGTAGCACCATGCAATTGTACATGAGCAGTACGATGGAGTAAATGAACTATTGTAAAAGAACTTGTCTCTTGACAAATTCACCATTCAATACTAGATCCCCAGTGGGCAACGATTGATAAATTCATGTAAATGACAAGTCTTTGGACGATACTCAACTATTTAACACAAGATCCAATGTTCACAAAACCTGACAGCATCATGCAAAAGCCTACGAAACCAGACGAAGCAACACCCTCTCTCCAGGAATTGTGGAGAACCGAACACAAAGTCAGCAGCCAACGCTCTCAAAATACAACGCCATATCCACAAAAATCTATATAGTACAAACGAACATATGCCCAGCACCACCCATGTCGGGTGGTTAGATGGAAAGTAGATAGTCAGGGGATCTATCGACCACCCGTCGGGATCCTTGGGGTAAATCAGATCAAGGTCGAACCGTCCGCTTCCAGCCCTGCTTCCAGCCTCCAAGCCCCGTTGCATGATCTCAGCTGGGAAGCTGGCTTCTCGCTGACTCTTCGCCAGCATCCCGAGCAGGGGCATCATCTGGGTCTCCACTCCGGCCAGCCCGTCCGTCACAAGGCTGGCGTCCTTCGCATCCGCGGACGCGGTGGCCAGATCCAACAACAAGGCCCCAGAGGAGTCCCGTTCTTCGACCTCAGTGATGGTCAGGGCGGTCAGACCCACTCACCCCCCCCCCCCCCCCCCTCACCCACTCACTCACTCCGCTTCCACTCACTCCGCTTCCACTCACTCCCCCCCGCTTTCAGGGAGTGGCATTTGGACATTTCCTTGTGTGACTCCCTCACGCAACGCACGCGCGACAGAGGGGGCTGGAAGAGGTGTGATGACACGAGCCGCTGCGACACGACCCGTGGTAGGGGGGAGGCCGATATACATGCACACTTCACTCATGTCAAGAAAAGATTCTTAAGTGTTCTGCACCATAAAAAAAAAGGTGGTGATCCTTCTGCTTCTCCTTTCGCATCTACAATGTCACAGGTGTTGGCTGATCACAAACAGTATTCCAGCGTAAATGACTGCTGCAGTATTCCCTGCTCAGGTTGAGGAAGAACTGAGTTCGCCGCTGCCACACTCTCCTCAAAACAGCACCAAATCCGCGTGAATGGCGTTGCATGCCTCGGGAATCTTGCAGTGAGTGGAAGGACATCTGCCGTCCCGACAGTGCACTTGGGAGCATGTCCGGAGAAAAGAAGAAGACCTAACGAGATTGACACCTCAAGCGAGACAACTTGTCTCGCAGCAAAAACCATCAGCTGCTTTTCACCTACCGTAAGAACCCCTCATTGTGCCCACACTGCAGAAAAGCCATGATGCGTGTCCAAGATCAAGAGCACTCCGTCCGAGACCTTCATGGCCCGAAAGAAGGCGCTCTCGCGGGGATCCTCTGGGATCTCCTCGTCCACCCGGTGTTGGTTGTTGGCATAGGCACAGACCTTAAAAAATCACCGGCGAACCCTGGAACAGAAAAAACAGGTTCCCCAGGTTTGGGGATTTATATGATATATGATGATATATGGATATATGATATATGGATTTACCCAGTTAGTTCGGGAAAGTAACAAAAAAAACACCGTAATAAGCAGAACCAGGAGACCCAGTAGGGGCTCTCTCTCCCAAGATCACGGACCGTCAAATGCTTCCGGAGGCAGGCGACAAAGTTCACAATGGGTTCCTGAAAACTGGCCGTCCAGGAACCGGACGGAAGCATTTGAAAAGAATCCACCGGTGTGGGAATTCACCCAGGTTTGAACATGTATACCCCTGGGAGTCGGTCAAAATATAAAAAGAAGGGTCTGACGAACGGTGACCCAAGTGACCCGGAATGTCCTGAAACCTTCAGTCGGTCAAAATATAGTCGAACTGGACTTCGTTCGGGTATAAATCACATTAAATAAACCTGATCCTCCGAACCAACCAGGGTTCCTTCCATGCATGAGACACAAACCATTGCGGTCGCTGGGCTTCTGCCTCACGGGAGACCAGTTCCACGTAGCTGCAACCCTTATGGATCTCCATCATCCACGGGCTCACCCAGGCATCTCGTCCTCCCCTACCCTGAGTGGAAGGCAGAATGATCCAGTTATTGGCGTGGTACAAGTTGAAGGTCTCAAAGGCAAGGGCCTGACCAGCTGCAGGGCCAAAGGTCTCGTACCAATAAGGTGCCATGTCCTTCACGAAGTCCAACAAAGCCTCCAACTGCACCACAGTGATGCCACGGAACTCGGTCGCGCCAATGGAGCAAATCTGCATGGCAGAAGGGCCCAGTTGCGAGTAGTCCGACAATGTGACACATCCAGATGCAGACTGAGAGAGAACTTCGTGCAAGATCTCGTTGGGTGCAATCTTCCGACCTTCAATTGAGAGGAGACGGTTTCCCAAATGCTGCGCCTGAGCCGCCTGTTCGATCTTCCGTTCACCCCAAGTCTCTTCCCATCGAATGGCATCCAGCGCCATCATCTTGTGGTCCACCGCGATAGACATCTCGGAGGCATCGTGCCCTGGCACCTTCATGAAGATCACAGCGGAATCAAATGTAAATGAAGTCATTCCCGCCACACCTGCGGACCAAACTGCTCCGCAGGGTAAGTGAAACCGCACCGCGGGCCAAGCTGCACCGCGAGGTGAAACCAAGTGTGATTTGTGTGACGCACGCCAATCTGACATGAAGTGTTGCTCGGAAAATTGCTACTTAGTAGCAAGGTTGTGTGAGATTGGAATGATACTGTGATTCTCTTTCATCCGAATTCCCTGACTTGTGACACACTTTGAACAAAACTGCACGGACTGATGCCTGTCGTTTGAACCAAATCCAAGCAGGATGATGTCAGACACGTGTCTCTTGCAGGTGGGTCAAAGGTGATCACGTTTGGGTGACGTGTCAAATCTCCTAAAGGTGCAGGTGGGTGAGGAGAAACTGAGTTCTAGACAGCCCTGACTTGGTGCTGGAAGCCTTTCACTTCTCCCGCTTCTTCAACACCAATCGTTCCAAAGCAAGTGACATTGAAGTGGATGGTCTTAGGCACACACGCGGTATGATTCGGCACGGTGCAGGCTGGCCTCAGGATTTGCGGTGTACCGCACAGCCCAATGACCATGGTTGTCGCGCCAAAAAAAACCGCTGCTTTGGTTGTCTTGGAACTGTTGGACGGCAAAATGTGAAGAGAAAGTCCCTGGACCCTCCTGTCGGGGTGTCCTGGCTGGACTACCCCACACTACCTATAGGCTTCCAGACGGGGCACCCCGTGTCGGGTCCTGGTCTGTGAAAGCAACCATGTCAAAAGCCCATAAAGGGCCTCTTTGACGTCGCAGAGACTCGGAAGATCGGGTTTTTGGTTTGTGGAAGGTGGTCCCCAACGCAATCCAAAGGTGAAGTATTTCACCATGGACCAGGGCGCCCTACAGGTCTGTCTGACAGTGATAAGACCAATCTTGATTTGGACTTTGCGGCCGGTCTCGAAGCGTATCGGTCTTGGCTAGCCAAGACCGATCAACCAGAAACTCGGACACGGGCAGTGGCTGGGTGCGGATGGAACCGGCTTCCCAAATCGGACAAGCGCTCTGCCTGATCTCTGCCTGATCTCACTCGTCAGAGTGCTCTTGCTTGCCGGAGAAAATCACCAGTGGATGTCGAGAAGTCAGAGGGGTTGGCCAAGTGAGTTGAGTAAGGTTCCAGAGTGAGTTGACGGGGAAAAGACCCCGGATCCGAATGTTCAGAGAGCACCTGAGCACCTGAACCTTCGGGATCTCTTCGAAAAA